ACTGCCCTGCACTATGGCTTCTGGTAGATCAATTTCTACCACATTCAAAGCTTCTCCATCTGCCAGATATACTTTCCCAAAGTCATCTGCAACATAATTTCACATCAATTCCTGATGGAATATTGTATGAAAGGAACTCTTGAATCCAATATTCAGTTATCAACAGAACTATGAACTGCCAGCAATAGTGCATTATGTACTTCTTCAGATACCACATTTGTGCTATCATTCTCCATCTTCTTGGGACTCATGCAGTTACTCTTTATGTGGTCGGCCTTGTCACAATTCCAGCAGGTTGCCTGTTGACTAGACTTTGATTTTGACCTCCCTCTATTTGATTTTCTGTCTTGACATCTCCCTTTGAAATCAACATTAAGTGTCGAACTCGTATCTGAGATCTCGCCAGAATCTTTCCTGCGCACCTCCTCAGCCAAAATCAAATCACGAATATCATCATATTTCAGTTTAAATTTCTCTAAAAAACTATTAATTGTCATTCTCATGGCTTTCCCACTCTTCGACAATGATGCCAACCATATCAGTTCACGTATCCCATCATCAAAATCAATTTCAACAGACGACAATTGATTTATGATAGTATTGAAATCATTCAGGTGTTGAGCAACAGAAACATCTTCCGTCATCTTCAAGTTAAATAACTTATTTATCAAATACACCTAGTTATTCACCGAAGTTTTTTCATACATACCTGATAAGACTGTCATGAGATCCGCAGTCGTCCTCTCCTTGACGATGTTGTGTGCAATGGACCTCGACAAAGTCAATCGAATAGCCCCCATAATTTTTTGATTCAACAAATTTCATTCAGTCTTATTCATCCTTTCAGGTCTTTTCCTCAATAACTGAAGATGAAGTTTCTCGAGGTGTTTGTGTGCAACGGACCGCTAGCCATCTCGATCCACCTTGCCAATCTCCACCGCCCTTGGGCTACACTTTCGAGGTGTTTGTTTGTCATTTCATGTTTTATGATGTTTTTTTTTTCAGTTTGTCTGTGTTGTAATCCTATTTCCCCATTAATAAAAGTTGTTTTTATGGTTTGGGCTTTTTCCTCTAGTATCATTTGGTATCAGACTAGCTCAACCCTAGTCTCATCCTAGGCTTTCCTAGCATCCGTCCCCACCCAAGCCACCCCTCAAAAATTTTTTTTCTTTCTTATCCCTAACCACAGCCTAATACTTTGATTTAACCCTCAATTCCTCTAGCTGATTTTCAAAATCAGCAACCCTAAGGTAAATTTTTAAACCTCTCTCACTTCCTAACTCTAAACCTTAGCCATGCCACTAGTGAGGTATATTTCTGAGTTTTCTCGGGAGGAAATAAGGCGAGAGATCCGCCGACTTCAGCGGTGGATTACGGACATCGAGGATGAAATCCAATGGGAGGTTACCCTCAATCGTCATCAAGAGAGCCGACGGGGACAACAAGGAGACACGAAGATGAAGCAAGAAACACGGTGCTAGTTTCTACCTACTTACGACCGCCAAAAGTGGACTCTAGCTTCTGAAGATGAGTGACTACATCACCAAGTGACTGCATCCCCTTGCTGATTTTCAAAATCAGCAACCTTAAGTCAAAGTTTTAAACCTCTCTCACTTCCCTACTCTAAACCTTAGCCATGCCACTAATGAGGTATATGTCTGAGTCTTCCCGGGAGGAAATAAGGCGAGAGATCCACTGACTTCAGCGGTGGATTACAGACATTGAGGATGAAATCTAATGGGAGGTTACCCTCAATCGTGATCAGGAGAGCCGACGTAAATGAGAGTATGTGAAGATGAAGCGGGAGACACAACATTAGTTCCTACCAACTTAATCCTACATACTTACAACCGCCAAAACTGACAAACTCTAGCTTCTGAATAGGAGTGACTGCATCACCTGACCTCCCCTTGTTACTATCCAACGAAACCAATCCGTAAGTCTGTCACAGCCAGAAAATGTTGCAAGTGTTATGGTTTCGGACATGTGGAAGCAGAATGCACAACCAGGAGAGTGATCTATTTCACGGAGCAAGGTGTTGGCAAGGCGTTGTTGAAACCTGAGGTAAGAACACTACATACGTTGAAGAGCAGTTCGAACGTGAACTTTCATCTAATGAAATCATTCCCCATGGACCTCCTTGTTCGTGGATACATCTAATGCCTTTCCTCTATGTGATCAAAAAGAACATGCAATTTTTGATGAGCTTGTGGTTCCTCCTCTCCTAGAAGATGGAGAACTCTTTGTTGAGACAAATAAAGATCACACAGACCAAAATATGTTGAAATTTAAAATTTCAGTGAATAATCTTAGTGGTAACCAACCAATAACATCACAGGCAACTAGTTTTCCAAACCCCACCCCCAGTGTTCCACATGAAGATACGAAAGACCGGTGTGATGCTCTTGTTAATGGAACGCAATAGGAAATGTCCATTTTCCAAAACTTCAAGAGTCAGTGAGAAGACCCAAAAGATAATAAAATTCATCCATCAATCAAACTCTTTCAAACCCTCAACCTATTTGAGGCCCAACTTGTCATAGATGAGAAGCATATGAGACATTTATTTATTCAAAATTTGGCTAAGGAGAAGCTACATAGTGGTGTACATCCGGCTCAGATTATGCCCAACTAGAACGAATTTCAGGGAGGTATGCTCACAAATGGAAAAAAGCTTCTCAGATGATTTGGTAGCCAGTGCAGTCATCAGTGGGATCTAACAACGATTGACCAAGACCGAAAGCTTTGACGAATGGCGTCGGAGCTCCCCCAACCCCGGGAGGCTAATGCGGGGCTCTGGGGAGGACCGAATGATCCTCAAGGGAGGGGGACTGCCGCCCCCACCTTCCTCTTCCCGCATTTCCTTTTTTTCCTTCTCTCCTTCTTGTTTCCTTTCATTCTTTTCTTACTTTCCTTCCTAGGCCATTTTCTAATTTAAAACATTTCCTAAATTGAAATCTAATTTTTATTCTTACTCCTAATTTAAAACATTTCTTAAAATTGAAATCTGATTTTTATTTCTTCCTAATTTAAAACATTTTCTAAAAACTGAAATATGATTTTTATTCTCATTTCTAATTTAAATCCTTTACTCAAATTTGAAATATGGATTTATTTTCCTTATTTTAGAGCTTCCTAATTGGGTCAAGTCTCTTTATAAATAGGTGGGGGTCTTGTTTGATATCTGAATTTAGGTTTTAATCTTGGTATTTTCTCTTCGAGGGTTGTATCTGACGCTGAGGTAGTGCTCCGATTGTCCTTTGTCCGAGGTGGTGATCGTCTCTAACGGTCCGACTGGTGCTCTGACTGCATCTCAACCCTGCCGAGCCATTTATCTTACCTTACTTAAACCCAAAAGATAATAAAATTCATCCATCAATCAAAATCTTTCAAACCCTCAACCTATTTGAGGCCCAACTTATCATAGATGAGAAGCATATGAGACATTTATTTATTCAAAATTTGGCTAAGGAGAAGCTACATAGTGGTGTACATCCGGCTCAGATTATGCCCAACTAGAACGAATTTCAGGGAGGTATGCTCACAAATGGAAAAAAGCTTCTCAGATGATTTGGTAGCCAGTGCAGTCATCAGTGGGATCTAACAACGATTGACCAAGACCGAAAACTTTGACGAATGACGTCGAAGATCCCCAACCCCGGGAGGTTAATGCGGGCTCTAGGGAGGACCGGATGGTACTCAAGGGAGGGGGGCTGCCGCCCCCACCTTCCTCTTCCCTCATTTCCTTTTTTTCCTTCTCTCCTTATTTCCTTTCCTTCTTTTCTTACTTTCCTTCCTAGGCCATTTTCTAATTTAAAACATTTCCTAAATTGAAATCTGATTTTTATTCTTACTCCTAATTTAAAACATTTCTTAAAATTGAAATCTGATTTTTATTTCTTCCTAATTTAAAACATTTTCTAAAAACTGAAATATGATTTTTATTCTCATTTCTAATTTAAATCCTTTACTCAAATTTGAAATATGGATTTATTTTCCTTATTTTAGAGCTTCCTAATTGGGTCAAGTCTCTTTATAAATAAGAGATGGTGTTCTTGGAGTTGGGGGTCTTGTTTGATATCTGAATTCAGGTTTTAATCTTGATATTTTCTCTTCAAGGGTTGTATCTGACGTTGAAGTAGTGCTCCGGTTGTCCTTTGTCCGAGGTGGCGATCGTCTCTAACGGTCCGACTGGTGCTCTGACTGTATCTCAACCCTGCCGAGCCATTTATCTTACCTTACTTTTGTTTCCTTTCTATCCTACTTCTTCCATAGCAGCTCCACCACTCCAACCCTTCGCCAACCGTCTCCAGCCCACGTCCAGCCACAAACCTGTTGTCCAGCCCCTCCAAACCGGCTGTTCGGCCCCACATCCTGCTGTTCTGCAGCCAAATTTGCCTCCCAACACTCCATCTTTGCTGCCGCCACTCCCGCTAACCATCCCGATCCACCTAGCCGATCGCCACCGCCCTTGGGCTACACTTTCAAGGTGTTTGTTTGTGTCTTTTTATATTTTAGTGATATTATTTTCATAGTGTGTGTAATCTTATTTTCCCATTAATAAAAGTTGCTTTTGTGATTTGGGCCTTTTCCTTTGGTATCACTACCTTTACTAGAAAATCTCTTTGGCTCACCTACTCAGCAGCCAGTTTCACACTTTAAATCTCTCTAACTAAAGCTGCAATTCCTCGACCGTCAAAATCATTAGTTGGCATGCCTGCCCCAAATGTAATGGGAGGAGCAGCCTTTTTTAAAGGATCATCAAATGTTAATTTTTTTCTACGTAAGAAATAAATATTAATTATGTAGAGAAATCTCAAATTTCAAAATGGGCAATTGCCGATTCTGAATATAACCCGGTTTGGCCCTTGAAAGGAGCTCTTTATATCAACATGCCTATGTTGACAGAAGTAGATGCTTTAGTCCTTTTTATTCACGAGAATTCATCCACATTTTGTAGCCTCATAATTCTCAGCATTATTTCTTTTCTCCTTATTAAGGTGGTGGGCATAGCTGCTTCATAGATGGAGACGAAGCAAGAATAAGGAGAAAAAGAAGAAAGATGTGGGAAAACGCTGTGGACATAGAAGAGTTATGTGGTAATGGGAAGGCATGGTGGGGTGTCAGAGGAGAGCTACGAGATGATTTGAACCACAGCAACAGAGAAATTTCTTATTTCGACCATTTTCACATTAGCAGGTTTGTGGAGTCATTGCTTGATGTGTACTGGGAGTTCCCGCCCGTCGCTGGGCCCTCTCTCACCCACCAAACTAGTTATGACCCAGCACGCACGTCAAATCCCATCGTCGAGGATGGCCAATATTTGCTTTTCAAAAGACTTGGCCTGGCCAGGCTCGATGCCTCCGTATTCAACTGGTACATCCAGATGGTCTATTTGAAGATATCTTCACCAAGCTCGAAGCATTTGGTTGTGTAATAGGAGATAAGGGATTTACATGCATACCGCTGAGTTTTTATATATTTATATATCTAATCTTAATCATTTAATATTAACTTATTTAGTGTGAAATACACAGTTTCATGTATATATTTGATGTCATTTTGACACTAATGGATTATATAAGTAAATATAAAGATTTAGATATTAGATGTTTAAATACAATAAAATTTAGTGGTATGTGTATAAATCCCGCAGTGTTTTCGTTTGTTTTTTTCTTTTTTTGTATAACATTAAGAGAGGAAATCTAACGAGAAATGTATTAGTTTCTGTTTATTGAAGACATGTTTTTGAAATTCTAGATATTTTATGCATTTTTTGCACAGTTTACTCTGGCAAGAGTTCAGTTTTGTAAATTTCATTCTTGATTATTAGTAACCTTCTGATTCAGTTATTGATTCTGTGAAAATGTTAGCTATGAGTTCGATTCATGGCTAAACCTCATACATCTGTATTAAATTTTGCAAATCATTTTGGTTTGCTGTAATTGAATTTCTTGAATCTGTTTATTTTCTTGGTCGTTTTGAAAATAAGGTTCTTCATGACATGTTGATGCTCTCCATGCTGTAAAAATGAGCTTGGTAGTTTACTGAATGTAATTTGTTGGCATTAAATTACATAACTTATGCGCAAAATCGATTCATATTAATGTAAAACTTATCAATGCATTACTTTGTCTCTTCCTTCTCATCTTCATCATTTTCATTTTCCTGATTCTCCTAGTTAGGTGGTAATGGTGGATAAAATTATGAACTTGAGTAGTATCATACATATGAGATTTTTGCGTAGTTTTAATCCATTTTAAGATTTTCACGAATAGCTTTAATACATCTTCGATATAAACTATCATTTGAGTTAGGCCTATCATAGTTTGTCCAAGTATTTATTCAATGTTCAAGTGCATCATATTTACCTGTATGTTTTTCTTATTTGGGCATATGACATTTGCTTGAGTACCAAGCCATCTTTTATCAAGTCATTTTTTTTTTTGCTAGATCTTTCGCCCAATGGTTTAGTAATGTACATTATTTTTGCCTTGTTTTAGTCATAATTTTTTAATATATTTTTCACAATTTAGTAAATGCTTTTTTAGGCAGATATATATATATATATATATATATATATATATATAAGTTTGGTCATGTGTTTTTGAGTGAACTTCTTCACTCTCAAGATATCTAATTTTATTAAATTGACTTTACATATTTTTTTATTCTTTGGCATATCATGTTTTTCTATGCATTTAATTTATTCCCCTGTTGGATTATATGTACTAGAGTATCCTTTTATGTGAGGAAGTCATATGAACCCAAATGTTTTGACTTTGTAAACTTCAGTACTCGGTACGCTTTCATCCCTTAAGTTGGGAGAGATTATTCCATCAGGACACTAGAAGTTAATTTTGCGTATGGAGTCCAGCGAGTACTTGCCATGTGGCAAGTGGGCCCCACTGTAATACTGGTTGGGTAGGTTTTTAAAGGGATGAGACTCACTTGCCACGTGACGCATGTTTACTGGACTCTGGACGCAAATTTTTGTCGGTTGTCCTAATGGAATAATTTTTCCTAAGAGGCTTGAGTTTGTTAATATCTAAATCTCATATTAATGCACATTTTATGCTTGCATCTAGTTGAGTTGAGTCAGCACATGATTAGTGGACGAGATATAAGCTTAATATATGGCCTGATAAGTTTTCCACCATTATCGGTTGCTAGTTCATACAATAATTAAAATCTTTCTATTACATCAATTTGTTAAGATGTGTCCTAATTAATTTGAACGGCTAAACAGACTTGATGGCACTGCTAGCTGACATTACCTTGCAGAAACGTTATGGATTTCATCCTATATCCAGTAGTTTAATATTTCAAAAATACAAATATGAGATAAAAAGCAAGCATTATAGGGGAAAGAATGGAAAAATATTACATCATTACTCTTGACGTAGAGTTGGGTTCCGAGTCCACTCATATGCGGACACGTGGAATAATAACACAATAGATATTGCCGGTGTTAAAATAACACAATAGCACATCAATACCACCACAATAACACATGAATAACGTGGAATAATACAAGATGAATATTCTTCTATGTTATCGGACCAGATCACAGGAAAGGGGACACGTTTTCTTGAAGCTACGTATCTGCATATGAGTGGACTCCAAACTTAGCTCTACGTTAGGAGTTCTGATGTAATATTTCTCCATTCCTCATTATAGGTGCAACATTTGTTTATGATTTGTATAACCAGAAAGAAAAAAAAAAGTTACAATACAATCATTTAAAATCTCGAACAATAATAGTCCCTAACTGCACATGTTATGTACTTTTTGACAAGTCAAATAGCACTGAAAGAATGTATACTGCTGTCCCAGCAAAATAAAAATTAAAAAGTTCCCGTGGGTTTTAATTTATTATTGCTTTAGAGCATAGTTTCGGTGAATTATCAGTGCACTGATTATTACAACAACAACAATAACAACAAAGCCTTAATCCTACGTGGGGTCGGCTACATGAATCTTTTTTCTCAATTGCGTCATATTTAGTGTCATATTTTCATTTAGTTCTTGTAAATTAAAATCATTTTTTATACAATAAGCCCAAGTCTTCTTAGGCCTACCTCTACCTTTCTTAACACAAGTCGAATCTAAAACATCTACTCTCCTTATCGAATCATCAGATGGTCGACGTTCAATGTGACCAAACCATCTAAGACGACTTTCTCTAATTTTGTCTGTCACAGGAGCTACACCAACCCTATCACGGATATATTCATTTCACATTCTGTCTCTAAAAAATAAATAAATAAATAAAAAGCTTGACGAGTAGTAATTCAGGCCATGGAGAAAGCTAATACATAATATGGTGCTGTCTGGTTGTTTTCTGCACGTAGCCTGCACTAGAAAGAAAGAAAGAAAGAAAAAAAAAAGTTTACCAGAGAGAGAAGATTTCAATTTAAATCATAAGGAATGATTTAAACCTTACATTTGTGATTTTTTTATTTTTTTTATGATGAGTTAATGTTGTAGTTTTTATGGAATAATATAAAAATGGAAAATTTGCAGACATGAGGCACAATTTTAATGTAAGAGCTAAAATTTAATATTTTCTTTTATAACAAGTATATGCTTTGTATTTCATATTTTTTTTTAAAAAGTAGTAGTTGTGATTTTTATAGGAGTAATATTAAATAAATATTTGAGTGTTATGCAAGTATATATATATATATATCTATGTATTTGTATCTATGTATCTGTATGTATGTGTACATACATACATGCAGATACATACATACAAATGATCTCAAGGCATAGTACCAGTTTCCTTTATTCTCTCTTCTCATCTTAAAATCTCATCCTAGTTTGAATATAAGATCATCCTTCTTATATTAGATAACTAATACAACAAAAATTCTTCTCACTTCTCTTTTTTCATGTATTTGTATGTATGTATATGTATGTATGTACATGTGTACATACAACAAAAATTCTTCTCACTTTTTTTTCTTTATGTATTTGTATGTATGTATATGTATGTATGTACATACGAGCACAATTAACTGGGGAAGCGTTAATTTGCCTAACTTGCCGATAATGGTCTAAAAACCTACCCAATCAGTATTGCAGTAGGGTCCACTTGCCACGTGACACATGTTTACTGGACTCTGGACGCAAATTTTTGTCCGTTGTCCTGATGAAATAATTTTTCCTAAGAGGCTTGAGTTTGTCAATATCTAAATCTCATATTAATGCACATTTTATGCTTGCATCTAGTTGAGTTGAGTCAGCACATGATTAGTGGACGAGATATAAGCTTAATATATGGCCTGATAAGTTTTCCACCATTATCGGTTGCTAGTTCATACAATAATTAAAATCTTTCTATTACATCAATTTGTTAAGATGTGTCCTAATTAATTTGAACGGCTAAACAGACTTGATGGCACTGCTAGCTGACATTACCTTGCAGAAACGTTATGGATTTCATCCTATATCCAGTAGTTTAATATTTCAAAAATACAAATATGAGATAAAAAAGCAAGCATTATAGAGGAAAGAATGGAAAAATATTACATCATGACTCCTAACGTAGAGTTACGTTCGGAGTCCATTCATACGCGGACACGTGGAGGTGACAGAAAAAAAAAATTTTGTTTTAGCGCAGGAGAATATTCCTCTCATGTTATTTCACATTATTCAAACGTTATTGTGGTGGTATTCATGTGTTATTGTGTTCCGGGAATATTTTCGGTATTATAATAATACAATAACACATTAATACCACCACAATAACACATGAATAATAAAAAATAACACGTATTTCCCAGTGTTACCGGGCCTGATCACAGGGAAGCGGGCATGTTTTCTTGAAGTCACGTGTCTTCATATGAGTGGATTCCGAACTTAGCTCTACGTTAGGAGTCCTGATGTAATATTTTTCCATTCTGCATTATAGGTGCAACATTTGTTTATGATTTACATAACCAGAAAGAAAAAAAAAATGTTACAATACAATTATTTAAAATCTCGAACAATAATAGTTCCTAAGTGGCACATGTTTATGTACTTTTTGACAAGTCCAATAGCACTGAAAGAAGGCATAGTACTGTCCAAGCAAAATAAAAATTATAAAGTTCCCGTTGGTCTTAATTTTTTATTATTGCATTAGAGCATAGTTTCGGTGAATTATCAGTGAACTGATTATTACAACAACAACAACAAAGCCTTAATCTCACTACGTGGGTTCGGCTACATGAATCCTTTTTCTTCATTGTGTCCTATTTAGTGTCATATTTTCATTTAGTTCTAATAAATTAAGATCATTTTTTATATAATAAGCCCAAGTCTTCGTAGGTCTACCTCTACATTTCTTAACACAAGTCGAATCTAAAACATCTACTCTCCTGATCAGATCGTCAGATGGTCGACGTTTAATGTGACCAAACCATCTAAGACGACTTTCTCTAATTTTGTCTGTCACAGGAGCTACACCAACCCTATCA